GCCCCAGGAGCATGGAGAGACTGGTGTCACATCTGCTTGCAGTCTGGCAGCCCCATGAGGACTCTGTGTTCCAGCGGCTCTGGGAACCACAGCTCTCTCACCCTCCCACTGCTGGAGACGATGAGAGCAGGCCCACCTTGCAAGGGACTTCCGTCTGCCCCCTCTACTCCAGGTCGTGTGCTCCTGTGGGAGGACATCACCTTCCCAGATGCAGCCCACCAAGGTGGACCAGGGGCCCTTCACTCCAGGGCTCGGGGCAGCTTCTACCCAAGAAAAGGGGCTGGAGAGTTTTCAGGACGATTAACAGAGTAGACCTCTGATCGGCCACATCTGAATTCAAGCCAGCTTGACCACTTCCTGGAGGGTGACCCTGGCAGGGCACTTGTAAGATGCAGATTTTAGGCCCTTGCCACCCAGGGTGTGCACAACGTTGTGCACCAACTATTACACTGCTGTGGGCGTGGCACATAATGAGCTCCCGGTGTACAGGGTCTCGTTGTCATCAGTGTTATAACTGTTTCTGTGACCGTTCTCTTCAGCGTTAGAGCACCTCAGTCATCTGCCCAGGGATTCTTCAGGACATTTGCCTGGAAAACTATCATGTGATGAAAACAGCAAAGCTGGGCTTCTTTTCTTGCACTGGCTGGGTTCGAGTGTCATTTGTGATCACCTTCAGAGCACACTTGTCCTGTGTTGCTCATGGATGGGTCATTTCTCAGCCTTCCATGCAAGAGATGATCTTTCTGTTTGCAATGCAGGTAGAGGTTGGGAACGCTCCCCACTCACGGGCCGTGGGACATGGCCTCTCTGAGTTGGAGGCAATTCCCCCACTGTACTCATCTCGGCTGCCCCATCTCAGTGGAAGCCACAGTGCTGGATATGAAGTTTGGGGGCTCACACCCAAACTCCACCGTGGGAGGTGTGGCTGCCTTGACAGGAAGTGAAGGGCGCTGAACTAAGGGTATCCCCTTTCAGCCCTGAGGCAAACAGGAAGCCACTCTGCCTGCCAGCCAGGGGGCCCCCCCGAAACTCTGACTCCCTCTCCCCATCAGCCCTCAGCTGGGCTGCTGTTTCCTGGATTTCATTCATTTCATGAAACTGTGTTTTCCTGTATCTTTCTGAGATGTGAATTTTTCCATGTGAATTTTCCTAGGTGAGGCCATCCTGTGGTCCTACTTTGGCTTTGGTTTGCTACAGGCTTATTTCTGGGGTGGATCTTTCTTGGGAAAACCCACCCCTCAGGCGCAGGTTTGGTGAGGTGACCATTCATTCTGGGGCGCAGGACCACACGTGCTGTTCAGAATTCACAAGAGAACCCATGCTTGGCAAAATAATCCATTTCGGAAAACAGAGCCTATGGGAACGCTGACTCCGCCCCTTTCCTCACCGGCTGTGTCCACCTTTTGAGTGGTTTTCCCAGCTGGAATGTGCTCCACACACCAGGGTCTTGGCTGGTTCTTCTCCAGGATCCCCAACTGTTCCTGATTTCAAGGCCAATGGAGTCCTTTGAGAGGAGCCTGAGGCAAACCCTTTGTCCCCACTCACCCAGCCCACAGCCTTCCCTGGCTGTCCCAGCCACCCATCTGTCCCTGCTGCTGCCAGTGCCGGGTGAGAATCACCACCCACCTCTGCCAGCCCCTTCTGGAGTCCTGCAGTGCTGTCTCTGCAGGATCTTGATGGAGGATGCACAGGGAAGGAATCCGCAGTTCTGGCCAAATCCAGTCTGGGCTGGCCCCGGCGGGAGTTTGCTCAGTTTTCCGTTTTGGGACTGCTGTGTTTGGGGCTGCAGTGAAGTTCTATTTTCCATTGGCTTATGTTTCCCTACCTCTTTTGGTGGTAGAGAATAAACCAAGCACCATTAAGTTGGCATCCAGTCCACTTCCAATTCCCTATTCAGTGAGAACTGGTTCAGTTCATCTAATATTCCAGGAAGGGTTTCTATCCTGAATTCATAGTGCAGTGGTTGTGACTTCGTATTAGGGCTGTGAGGTGGTGACACTCAGTGGTGTTCACAGGCAGGTATGGCAGCGTCTCCCAGAGCCTGGAAGAGCCCCCTAGCGTGCTGCACTGATGGAGGCAGGGTCCAAAGTCTCCACTTCTCAGCCTCACATCACATCATTCTGCGTGAAATCCTGCTAGCCTCCTCTGAGTGAATATCTGGAGTTGCAGAGAGTGGAGCTGCTCAACACAGGAGTGTCGGGCAGTTTTCAGAGAGGGGTGAGCTGGAGAAGACAGCTCCATGACAGTTAGCTATAGAGGTGCCTGCCTCGGAGTGGTCTGGATGATGGACAGGGAGCTCGCAATCTGAGATGTGGGTCCACCCTGGATGTGGGTGGCATTAACCAGGCTGGCAGCCAGATGCACTGAACAGGGAAGCAGAGAGGAAGTCCCCTCTGGTCTCCTCCATCTCCTTTGGACGTTGGACTCCAGGTCCTTCTGCTCTGTGCCCAGACTCTTCAGCTTCCAAACAGGCCCCTTCTCCAACACCACGTCCTGGGCCTTGCCTCCTGGCCGGATCCTCAGCCCTACAAGTGCAGGTGGCCCTCTGAGTTCCACTCTCTCCCTCAGCAACTCCTCTAGCGATCACATACACAGCTCACACCTCATCCATTCCTCTCCTGGCCCCTGCCCTATGTACCGCCTTAACGGTTGTGCTCTCACTTGCACAGGTATGGCCTCAGTCACGGTTTTTGTGACCAATGCTACGTGTGAACTGTGTTAAATGCAGCCTCTGGGCATTTTCCTGGGTGTTGCCCAAGTGTACACATGCAGGCCGTCAACGCCCTTTGCTGGGGAAAGGATGGGATGGCTAAAAAGAGAAGGACACAGATCTTTTCAGAAGACAGAGTGCTTACAGGAGATACTAAGGAAGTTATTGATGGCAAGACTTTACCAAGATTATGAAAACGTGTCCCTAACCTCAGGAGAACTGAGACTGGGAAGAAAATGAAGAGACAAAAATGCTGTAGGTTTCAGAAAAAGTAAGCCGTGACCGACAGTTCCTGCCCCAGGCACTGTCACAGAAAAAGGGTGATGGTGGCGCTCACATGCCAGGGTCTCCCGCAGAGGGAGCACCACATGGAAGCAAGTATGGATTCTAAGCACAGGACCCAAAGCAGCCATCTGTGGGGAGAGGGGGACCCTAAACACCAGGGGCCATGGGAGGGGTCACCTGTGAGGAACAGACCAGCAGCTGCCCGGTGTCCACAAAGACACTGGTCAGTGGATGTCAAGAGGCCAGTGGTCACCCAGACCACTGCAGCCCCGAGAATGTAGACACAAACTACAAGAACTTGGCTTGTAGAAATGCCGTGGTCCTGAAAGAAAGAGAAAGGAAGGAAGGGAAGAGGGAAAGGAAGAAGCATGGGGTGGGGAGGAAAGGACACAACAAAAGAAAAGAGAAAAAAAGAAAGGGGAGGGAAGGGGGGAGGGGGGAGGGAAGAGAACAGGGGAAGGGAAGGAGGGTAGGGGAGGGGAAGGAGGAGGGCAGGGGAGGGGAGAAAGAGGGAAGTGAAGGGGAGGGGAGGAAAGTAGTTTATATTTTTGCTGTGTTTGAGGGTTTAAAGTGAGAATTAGACTTGAACTGTTTGCTTGTTAAAACTGAATTGTGCCATCACAACGTTTACTGTTTTGTGAAACCATTTATGTGGAATGAAATGAATTTATTTCCTGAAAAATCAAGGGCTTCCACCATCAATGCATTGGGAGAAATGGACAGAGAAAAGTCAATAAGATCACTTTAATATTGTTGCACTGAGAGAATGACCATCAATATTTTAGTGTCTTTTTCCTTCCACGTCTTGACAGTATGTACAAACATACATATAGATTTTGATTATATGATAATGTTTTAAAATTTGTAAACTTATGATTTATTCACATGCATTACTCCTTTTTGGTGACTAGATTTGCTACAATTTTTAATGCCAGTTATCTCCTAAAATAGATTTTATCTACTATTCTATATTTTCTGTTTATTTGAAGTTTTTCTAATTTAGTGAATTATTTCATGATTCTTTTTTCTCTGAAGATCTACTGTGTTGCCATTCTTTTTTTGGCTGGGCAGCTTTTTCCTACTACATTTGGAATCACTAAGATCTCCATGACTATGGCTAAGTGAAGGCTAAAAGTATTTGATAAACTTATGTGTTTTAATTTTATATTCTTCTGTCTTTCAGCACAGTAGTTATTTGAAAGATATGATTTAAAAGTATATACAAGTTGATTTATTTTTAAAGTACCATTTTGTGTGACTGTCACACCTTAGACAAAAATACAGAAAGCATGATAAAATAGAAGTTAACTATAGACCATGATATAGAAATAAACATTACTAAGGTATTTCGTTGTGTATCAAAGCACGTGCAAGCACATTAAAATGAGATGGTGTTGCTGGGGATTTAGCTCAGCGGCACAAGCACCTGCTTGGCAAGTCTGAGGTTCTGAATGTGATCCCTGGTACTAAAAAAAGAAAACAATGCGACAATGTTTACACATTTCTCTATGAAACGCCTGTTTCTGCTTAGTTATATGACAAGCGTATTTCGCTTTAATCTGTAACGAGCCGTAGACGCTACTGTCAGTATAATCTGTATGCCTGCTATCATTTCTCTGAATGTTGGGAATATGTGCTCCACTTTATTTTTCCTGCAGACCCTTGTACATAAAATCTTTCTGTGCACTTCAGGTTCTTGCTCCAGGACTCGGTTTTTAAAGGCACGCGAGGCGTTTGACCCTCAGCAGTGACCAGTCTCGGGGAGTCCACCCCGCACTGCACCCCGCAGGGGAGTCCACCCCGCACTGCACCACCGTCAGCGGCAGACGAAAATGCCTTTTCTCCCAGTGAGCTCCAAAACAAGTATTTAAGTGTTTCCACTTCAAGTTTAATTTCCATTTTATAGTCCTTTGATTACTAGCGCTTTCTGTATTTTATGAGTGACTTTTACCTATTAAAACTGTGGGTTTTTCGTTTGTTGCTGTAGCTTTAATAAAGTATTGTCTCTTTGTGGACATTTCCTCCCTCTCTCTTACCATTTATCTTTAGCTTTTGTTTGACTTTTTATTTCAAACATCAATTTGCATGTTTAACGGCGTCTGTTTTTCTTGGTACAAGCTCGCTGTGCTGCACGAAGATCGCACGCACCGCCGGGCTGGCGCATGCGCGAGACACAGCCTCAGTCTTCCCACTTCCTCTCCCTGCCCCCCTCCTCTCCGCCCCTGCCGCTGGCGGAAGATGTTCTCCCTGCTGCCTCTTGTGTGTCTTTTAATTTGATCTGTACTTTCTCTATAGTTGGGGCTATCATATAGGAGAAATGTGCAGTAGGTAAGCTTCTGTGTCTAATTTATTACATTTTGGTCACTGCAGAAGTATTAGCCACTGGCCCAGCTCCAGCTGTGTGCCAAGGACGCTGCCCGCGGTGCTCAGGGCATCCATCGCGGTTCTCTCCCATTGCCTTGGCAAAGGCTGTCTTTGCTGGGAAATGCTGTTCCCGGTTAAGTCTCAGAAAGCCCTTTCTCTGTGTGTGTGTCTCTGTCGCTGTCCTCGCTGTCTCTCTGTCTGTCTGTCTCTCCTCTCTGTCTCTCTCTCCCTCCTTCTCTTTTATTCTCCAGGAAATAGTTTGAAAACAGTTTTACATTTCTTGGTACAATATGCAAAGCCTTTTTAGAACAATAAGATAGGCCTGGGCTGGGATGTCCCTGACGTTATCCTTAATGACTGCTGTGGTGTGAAGATGCTTTGTCCCCCCTAAACTCATGCTGGTGTTTGTCCACATTTGCAGCTTGAGCAATGGGACCCTAAGAGGCCGTCAGGAGACTTCACCCCCGAGACAGGTCACCGCAGACAGCGACCATCCTTGTCTTTCCAGGCCTGAGCCCCGATGTGCTGCAGTACGGTCTCTGCGAAGGGGTGCAGGCGCAGGCACCTTGCGCTTGGACTCCCAACCTCCAAGCCCTGAGCCACATCGAGCACCTCTCCTCCTGAAGGACTCAGTCTCAAGCACACTGCTGCCTTGATTCCTGAATTTAATTTATTCCACAATTTGCAAAAGAAGGGCAGTTTGTGTTTGTGCAGGAAATATGGCTGTGGCCATGTCTGTCACTGGACACATAGTTTGCAAACAAAAACAAAATTTCACTAAATGCTTTTGTTTGCAAACCAAACTATCACAAACAAAAGGGTTGGTGAACCAAGGTGCTACTGTGCGGCCCATCAGCTAATGACTTCTTCGTGTCCACTTCCTGCTGCCGGGATCCCTTTCCCCCTCTGTGAGTCCTGGGCACCTGCTGTGGTTCCATGATGTCCTCGGTTCCCAGCTGTTGCTCAGGTCACGAGGGGGGCACCCCAATTTGTTAGGTCCAGTGGTCACTTCCTATGTTGGTCACTTTCCTCCTAGCTTGGACACACTTCACTGGGCACTCTGGAGGAGTTAGTATTGGGCCCATTTTCCTCTCTACCCACATAGCCCCTGGACAACATTGTTTTGCCCTAAGGATTAAAATTCCATGCTAAGATATTTTCTGGATTTGGCTTTTTTCACTCAGGAAAAAAAAAAAAAAAAACCACTATTTTTATAGTTCATCCAAAGAATTTCAGGTATTAGTAGTTTGTTTTTTCACATTTTTGCCAGGTCATATTACTTCATGTTCAACAGTACCGTTGGTTTATTTATTCACCTGTTGGTGGACATGTGAGCTGGGTTTGGTTTGGGGCTGTTAACTGTCACAAACATTCCACTGAAGCCTTTGGGTCCACAAGCTTCTGCTTGGGGTCAGGTGATAATGCCGCTCTCGAGAGGCTCTGCTAGGTCTCTGGTGGGCGTGTGTATGACTTCATGGGAAACCACCAACTGTGTCCCAAGTGGGTGCCCGCCATCACATTCCCACGGCCACCTGTGGGCTTCCACTTGCCCACATTCTTGCTACTGCTTGCGACTGTTGTTCTGTTTTTAGAATTCAGCTGTCTTTGTAGTTGCGTAATGGCTGTTTGCATTCATCTCAGAGTGCAACGTGGCATGTTTTAAGCTACGCACTAGCTGAGTGCTCGCTCCGTGCCTTAGGTTATCCACCCTTGTATTGCTGAGTTACAGGAGTGCTCCAACTTTGTTGGACACATTCTTTATCTTGTGAAGGGGGTGTATTTGTGTCCAGTTTCTGACTGGCTGTCACCCTTTGTGTGAGGATCTGCCTCTCTGCAAATAGCCAGCTGAGCACGGTGCGGTCTTGCCTTTTGTGACCACTGCTGCTGTCCATGTGGCCCATGCCCTCCTGTCACCTCTTCTTTCAGAGCAGAGCAGGTGTCGGTGCCCCGACCCCTGTGGGGTGACCCTGCTGACACCACAGGTGTCCATCTGGCCACCCTGGGGCTGTCCTCTTTTCTGTGCTGCTCAGTTTGGACTTAGCCAGGCAAGATGGGGAGGTGAAAAGCTGGGGTGCTGTATTCGAGCCACGTCTCCTTTGGGTCTTATCTTTTCTTTTCTTCTTCTTGTCTTCCCTTCTTGATAGCTTTCTTTCTATTTTCTCCCTATAGAATATTAACTTCATGAGACAAGTGACCAGAACATCTTAGAAGAGACCACTGTGTCTGTCTTAGAAGCATCGTTATGTACATGTTTGTGGAATGAATACACATGAATAAAGAATGAAATTTGCCTGGTTTGATTAGACAAACAGATGATGAAAGGAACCCCAAATAGAAGTATGGAAGGAGGGTCAATCACGTAAAGTTAGGAGAGAAACAATACCTTCTCGGTTAAGCATGAAGTGGGTCATGTTGGGTGCTATGGAGTTATTTGGAAAAGCAGCTTTCAGTATTCCGCCGGGAGAATCCTGTACCATTTACAGGTTCAGACAGGCTGTATCTGCATATCTGGCCAGACCCTGCTGAACACAGGAAAGATAAGGTTCATTTCAAATGTGGTGGGTGTGCAGTGACCACTCTGGGTCCATACACCCAGCAGGCAGTCTGCTGGCTCTTGGGTCAGTCTTCTCCTCCAGGGGCAGGTTTCTTTCCTGATCCACCTCCAAGACAGCAGCCCATAGCTCGCATCCTTAGCGAAGTCCTTCTAACTTTGTCATGTGAGCGGGGTCAGGCTGTGAACTCAGCCCTGCATGCCCAGGTGTCAGGGGTGCTCATGGGAGACCCCGCAGAGTGACAGTGACCGTGCTGGGCAGTGCCGCACCCCTCTCTGTCTCCCCTTCTCTTCAGCCTATGCACAGCTTTCCCCTGGTTTGACATGTTCACTCCCATAATGCCTTGGGCCCGGTACAGATCTATTGCAAGTTTAAACTGTCAAATAATGAAATTCTTGAGGTTCCTCTACCCTGAGGCTGTGATATTCAGCCTCTCCTAGAAGCAAAGGAAATCTGCTGTAAGGCCCTGGGCCCCAGCCCGCAGTCTCCGCATCCTAGCACTGTCCTCTGTTTGTCAGCAGAGTGCACTTTCAAAACAAGGTCCTTAGCCAGGCGTGGTGGTGTACACCTGTGACTACAGGGCTGAGAGGCTGAGGCTAGAGGGCTGCAGGTCCAAGCCCAGTCTGAGCACTGCAGTGATTTGGCAAGAACCAAACTTAAAAAGTGAAAAAGGCTGGAGCTGTAGTTCAGAGCCTAGGCTGTGGGACCAATGCACCACACCAAACAGAACACAACGCTGCCAAAGGATTAAATCCACGGAGTTGAGTTACTTTAAATATTTAACTCAAAGAAGTGGACCTCAGCTTCAGCTGCTCATTTAAATTATACCTGTGGGGGCTGGGGATTTAGCTCAGCGGCATAAGTGCCTGCCTTGTAAGCAGGCAGTCGTGAGTTCGATCCCTGGTACCGGTAAAAACGAAAAAGACAAAAAAAAAAAAAAACAACTATACCTGTGTCTGACCCTGCCCTTGACCGGAACTCTCTGCTTTCACCGGAACTGAGGGGGGCTCCCCTCAGTTCCGGTGAAAGCAGAGGGGGGGCGCCCCGCTGTTCTTGGGACCTGCTCCGGTGAGCACTGGCTGCATCAGTGAGTGACTCCCTTGCCCTGGGTGTCTGAGCTCTGCCTACTCCGTGCCCTGGTCATCCCTACAGACACTGAGCAGAACCCACGCCCTTTCCAGCATTGGCCCCTCCAAACCAGCCCAGCTGCTTATCTATCATGCGTAGTGAGCTGGAGTTGGGCCTCGATGCCCTCCTCTATCCCACTGTGGTGCCCTGGTCCCTGCCCCTGCCTCGGCCCTTGAGGAAGGCCGGCCTTTCCCTCCTAATGCGCAGACCCTTGTGTCTGAGTCTGGGCCATGGCACTGGTAGGTTCTGGCCCACTCCATGCAGATCTGAGCCTGGCCAGCCCAAAGCCTCTGGCTAGTGGAGAGGGAGCTCTGCCTCCTCTAAGGCAGTTTCCAAGGTCCTGGCAGCCAGTCAGCAGGTCCTGTTAGAGCAGGAACCCATCCTGGGCTGCAGAAACAGAGCTACACCTAAGGTATCCAGGTCTACTGCATGAAGAGCAGGGAGGACAGCACCAGCAGGAGACACAGTAGGAAGCCACACAGTGGTCTGGCCAAGCCGTAGATAGCACGGGGTGGGGGGGGAGATGACCAGCTGGTCCTTTGCCCCCATTCCTCAGGCCCCAACCCTGAGCCCACAGAGCCCCAGGTCCTCACCTCCCCCTCTCACCTGGCCAAGTCCAACCTGAGCAGCACAGAAAGGAGGACAGCTCCAGGTAGCCTGCACTGTCAGGAGGGCCACCACAGGGCCCAGGACACTGATACCAGTCTCCTGGTGCCACTATGCTCTGTCGCTTCATGTGGTGCAAACAACACAGTTCAAAACCACCCAGCCACTTTGGCCCTGGCAGGCTTATTAGGAGGGAAGGTCTTTGCCTCTATCTGATTATCCTATGCGTTTCTAAGATGGGCTGTATGATGGTTGAGCTTGTGTCTGATTTGTGTCACTCAACATTGTGATTTCAAGGTGCATCCACTTCCTGCAGATGCCTCGGATGTGTCTTCCTTTATGGTGAAGCAGCAGTGCTCTAACAAGGGCCAAGAGCTCGCACCTCCAAGCAGCCCTTTCCCAGGCAGGAGGAGACCAAAGGGCCTTCAGGTGCCAGGCCGGCGTCCTGGCACAATGCCTGCTGCACTGCCAGCGAGGGCCGCCTGCCACTGCTGTCACAATGGGGGCACCGAGGCGGACAGGCCGCTGAGTGACTCGTTCATGGCAGAGGCGTGAGTCAGCAGCAGGCCAGGCTCCGGGCAGAACCGCTCATCCGGAGCCGCTTCCATGCCGACAGCTGGTGTGGGAAGCCGGGAGGGCCCCTGTGCAGCCCGCAGCCAATGCAGGGCGTGGGGTGGGTCCAGTGCCCGCCCTGCCAGGCCCCCCCTCCAGGCAGTGCTCCCGATGTGTGGCTTTCTTCTGCACAGAGGAAGGATGCAGCTCTTTTCTGGAAGCATGGATCTTGCTCCGCTGGCACAGTGTGGTGGAGACCGCACAGGCTGGTGATCAGGATACCTGGCCCCTCCTGCTCCAGGCTTTCACTTGGTGGTCACTTGCTGTGACCACTGGTGTTCTGGCCGCTGCAGAGCCATGGCAAGACCAAGTCAGCAATGGGTTTGCAGCCCATCAGGGTCCCTCCCTTCTGTGCCATTTGCAATGATTCTGGCTTCTCACCAGTGGCTCTCAGAATAGCCCCAAGAGCTCAGGGCCGCACCTGAGACTCTGATGCTAGAATGGGGCTCCAGGGCTTTGAGGGTGCTCACAGCCCCACTTCAAGCAGCAGCAAGCAGAGGATCTGGGTGTGGTGGCGGCTGGCTGTCCTCACTGCCACTAGGAGGGAGGTGCTCCCCTCCTCCCCAGGGGCCAGGCCCCTCACTGCTCACCTTGTTCCCATTTCTGATTTTTCACTGATACATAACAACATAAAAACTGTACCTGCCTGCAGGCTTCCAGGTGGCACCTGGCAAGGTCCACACTATGCCAGGTGGAATCAGGTACCAGGGTCTCCTCCCTGATGGTCCTTTCATTACTACAGCACCTGGATCCAGCCACTGCTTCCTCCAGCCCTGCTTTGGCCCTGAGGCTTGGATGACGCCAGAGCTCCTCTTGCTGCACCTCCCGAGTATCCAGGGTGGAGGGGCCCTGCCTGCTTGCTCCTGATGTCCTTGGCCTCTCCACCTGGCCCTCATCTTGGCCTCCCATTAGCCCTTCTTCCTCCTTCTCTTTCCTCCTCCTTGTCCTCCTCTCCCTTTCCTTGTCTTCCATCCTCCCCTTCTCCTTGTCCTCTTCCTCTTCCCCCTCTTTATTCTCCTCCTTTTCCTCCCCCTCTCATCCTCCTCCTCCTCTCCCTCTCCTTCACCAAACCCATTTCTGATTGCACTGCTGTCCACCTGAGTCACTTCCACCTCCCAGTGCCAGGCAGCACACCCCTGTCACAGGCTCCAGTCTCTGTGTGACCTAGCCCTTCCCCTGCTCCACTCTGCCTCTGCTTGGAGGGCGAATGGGGCTCCCCCGCTGGCCTCCTACTCCACACCCCTGATGCAAACGGG